AGGATGGATAATGGAGGGGGTGTGACAGCTTATGGTGGTTTGTGGAGCAGGGTCGTTCATCATCATGACTTCTTGTTAGCAGGGTCGCAGTTACTTGAGCTAGGATGTACTAATATATGATTTTCCTTTGTTTCCACACAAAGATAAAAAAAATGGGTGGTTTCTACGTACTGTTGACCCAAAAAATGGAAAGCTTCAAAGATGACCATAATCTTGACTAATTTCGAGGTATAACCGAGTCTTATTAATATTTTTTGTAATTTTTATTATTATTTACTTTTCGTTAAAAGTAAGAATGTACATTGGATCGGTTCAATTTGGCAAACCTAATAATTTAAATTGAATATTGATTGGTTTGAACATCAGACTTACAGATTTAAAACTTAAACCAATCTAAATCAAACAAAGTGATTTATATATTATTATTTTTAATTTTTATTTGATTAATAATTAATATGTATATATCATTTTAATTAATTTGAAAACATTTTTATGTTATAATATGTAAATATTTTCATTCCTTTTTTCAAATATTTCAAAGAAATTATAAAAATATATATTGTAATATATTGAGTGTCATTTTTACACACTATAGTGCATTTAAAATCTTTAAGTAAACTAAAAAAAAATCAAGATGAACTATATTACAAATTTACCAATTTAGTTATTTTTTTTTACAATATATCAATTTATTTAATGTTGAAAAGTCTATTTATTTTTTGAAAAAAATATTTTTCTGATTTAATTTTTTAAAAATTTATTAGATATTCAATAATCAGAACCAAATTAACCCAATCAACACCTAGTTTAGTTCAGATTAAATAAAAAAAAATTATGAAATTCAAATCAATCTAAACCAATTAAATTTAATTAATTCACATTGAATTGAATTTTTACTTAAATAGTGACTAATACAATCCATAAAGATCCCTTATCAAAAAAAAGTTGAAACTACGTGAACACATAATAGTCTTGAATCATTTAATGGTTTTTCTAAAAAGAAAGTGTGATCATGGGTGTTCTGTCCTTATTGTATAAAAATAATTGTTATCGTGTTGAACCCTTGATTAGGATTTTTTCTTTTGTAAAAGCATTGTAGAAACTCATTTTTTTTCTTCCCCATTCTCTAATGTATTCTTTTGTCATTTGCTTCCAAGAAAGCTTGAATCTTTTCTAAAGGGGGTTGACGTTGTTGGTGGGAGATTTGACCAGGTTGGTGGGACCCAAAGTAAGAGAAAAAATTGCATAACAGCAGAAAGGTGGGATCACGGTATCCTCCCTCGTTAAGGACTGATACTAGTTACCTTGAAGGAGAGCTTAGAGAACATGGCGTGGAACTTGATGTTGTGGTTGGACTTTGGAGTGTGAATCACCTTGTGCTTGTAGAGTCCATGAACCTGAACTAGTGAGTGAAGTGAGCCAACTCCACTCTCCACAAACATCATCATCTAGGAATGTGAAATTATACTGATAGAGACAATAATGAATAACCGAGGTTTAAACTTCAAACACCATATTAAAATATAAATATTCCATTAGGGATTTATTCATGTAGTAAAATATTCAATTAGGTCTAAATAAATTTTAGTAGATAAAAAATTATACTATATTTACATATATTTATTAAAACAGTTCGGTGATATATAAAGTTTAGATAAATCTTAATTTTGAATCTAGTTATCATCAATGTAATTTTTATTGATAAAAAAAATTTGAACCAGTGTAAAAAATACTTCTACCAAAACATTGTAAATAAAAATTTACTTATTCATTTATAAATTAATCATGAATTAGTATATTTTTAATTGAATATATATTAATGATATATTTAGGCTTTTACTATGCTTTAGCTGGAAATTTAATCAATCCATCAACTTTGTCACCCTAAAAAATATATTTGGAATACCTCTTTTTGACTTTAAACATGTGTTTTTTAAGAAAATTTTATTTAAAATATGGTTGTTTAACACTAAATATAAACATTTTTTTCTAGCAAAAGTTTAAACTTAATTCACTACTAGTTATAAGAAATTAACTTCTTAATCACTATACTCGATCCCCATTGGTCAAGGTTGAATAGCTATGAATCAATGGCCAAAGAACTTTATTTAGGCTAATAAAAGCTCTGAAAAAAAAATGACAATCCCCTAGGAAAAGAACAAAAAGGGGTGGCCACTTTGTATCTAGCTAGGTTGGAACATGGAGTGTTTCGGATCATTTGCATTATTATCCCAGGACCCATTTTTTATGAGTAAAAATGGTAAGTTTTATACAAACTCATCAGGATATGCTTGTGCTTGTGATTGTGGCAAGTGTTTTTTGACTATTACCAAATTGATATTTTCAAAATCAAACCGATAACCAAGAGAAATTATTGGTTCACGGTAAGTCGGTAACCTCAATATTATCCTCTGGGATCGGTACCATGTAATCACACAAAATTATTTTTAAGATAGTTTTATATCATGAATCTCTAGCAAAATTCTACCACGAAATTAATTAATTAGAGCAACTTGAGTATTGCTTACTGTCTCAGTCTTATTTTTTAAATCAGGATATCCTTGATTGATAAGACTATATTTTTTTCAAAGTACATAAAGATTAATGAAATTAGTTTTGCCCTCTCCCAATAATTTGTTTTCTTATACAGATGATTAAGAATCAAACCCGGTTATCTACACTGTGTTAACCTTATCGGCGTTACTATCAACTTTTTATGTATACCAACTTTTACTATAAGTAATTAAGTATTCATTTGACATTTTCTGTTGTTCTTATCAAAATGCAGCGAGATCTGAGTATGTGAATACCTTTTTTGTTGTTCTTATCAAAATGCAGCAAGATCTGAATATGTGAATATTTTTCGTCTTAATTTCTTTTGATTTTGGTCTTCTTCTCTGAGTTTTCTTTAGAAAAACTAGTTTAGTACTTATAAAGAGGATTTCGACAATCAAGTTAGTCAATAATTCATTAGAGTTTTAAATTAAAAAATTCAAAGTTAATTTATACTTATCTTCTATGTTTGTGGGATAGGTGATTACCTATCGAGAATGTGGTTATTTATGAGATTGACCATTAATCGATTACGTTATCTTTTTGGGTAGTACATCTGGCAACGTTTCTACCACCATATATCATACATGTTATGATCACTGTTGGTATTTTCATGCGTGCCAAGTAATGAAATTTATTTTTTATTCATGAAGAGTACTAGATTAGCAATCGGTGCAAGAATTAATGTAGAAGGCAATGCCAAAACTTCAGCAAGCACGCCATAATGCGTTAAGGACATCTCCGGGAGTCATGGACCATCACACAATGTTGTCTATCTAATTTGTACCAATCTTTCTTTTCAGTGTCTTGTTTTCTTTTATTCTTTGATTTGATGATAAACATGAAGACGGCAATTCTTTTTCCCATCCTCAATCTTTCACTGTTTCCTTTTTGTTGTAATAGAAAATCTGTATATTATTATGATTTGATTGAAGGGCTATGCTATTCGTCGGAAAACGTATATGTCCGGATGCATATATAGGATATGTATAATTATCAATAGCGAGTCCTGTCTATAGGGCTCACTTCAGATGAGACTTACCCCTTTTTTTACCTGAAATGTATACAGGCATGTAATCCTAAAATGGATTTTTCTCCCCATGGATTACTACTTTCTTTGAATTATCGCATTATATCTCTGTAGCTTATGTGATTACTATTCTCTCAATAAATCTTATGCATTTGATTATCAATCTTTAAGTATTATATCCACTTTATTTAATTCTTTTGTCTATTTGAATATTATTTTGTTGAGATATATAATTACTAATTAATACGTATATATTATATGCCACAATCTAACTTAATCATTACTCATTACTGGATTTGAGATATGAATTTGAAAAGGCTTGGAGTTGTCTACTTTGATGTCCTATGTAACGGTATTAGTTTCAAAAAATTATAGTTTCGTACATACTGAGGAACTAAAGGGAATATATAAAAGAAGAAGAAACTCATCATTTAGTTAATCAGAAGCAATTGAATTGTTGAATCCTATCTTCTTTTAAGTAAAGCAAACCCTTCAGCCCTAAGCGAAATGTAATATATGTATCACTTTTATTAAAAGGTAACTGCTTGTATGTTGGGGGGTCAGGCATGATTATAGCCATTTGTCAATTCATGCATGGACATGTACTCTCAAACCTGACATGTTTGAGCTGAAAATGTTTAAACAGGGGGTCAAAGTATTTCTGGTGCTACTTACATCTTATACTAATTCAAGCAAACTTTCAAAAGGGTTTTAAATTATGCTAGCCATGAATTCTATATATCTCAACAACAATAATTACATGCAATTTATAATACTGCATCACTAAAGCACATACACATATAACGCTAAAAATAATCCCATTAAAAATTACCAGAAAAGGTTGTACCACTCATTAAAATATCAAGACATATACTGTGTCATTATTTCCTTTTCATCCAGTTAATTTATTTATTACTTTTTGGAGGCTTCCAATAGAATATATATGTTTTATCAGTTTCCTGTGCCGAACAGCACTATGGATAACCAAGTTGATTAGTGGACTAAATTATGCTTATTAATAATGCGGGTGTAAAGAAAAATCCTAAAAATCAAGCAACACTTGGACTATGAGCACCAACTCGCCGACTAATGAGTAATCTAGTTCTAATTGACTCCCACTGGATTAGACAAAATGAAGAAAAGAGGGTCCAACGCAAATAAACCATTACTAAGTGACAATATTAATAATGCCTATTGTGAGAAATGATGATTGGTGTGATTGTATTATTGATGATTCCATATCCTATATAATTATACAAGCATCTCTTTTCCTATAAAAAAAAAAAAAAAAAAAAACATGTACGTATATATATACCCTAGTGAAAAAATAAGTAAAAGATAGAAATACAAATACGTGTGAGAGATGGAGAAGGAGAAGAAAAGCACCTTCAAAGGGCCCACATTATGTCCTCTCAAAAGACCACAAGACCTGATTTTCTTCTTTCTCCACTGCACCAACACATTCTTTCAAGTTCACCTCATTCCTTCTCTCACTCATCCTGTTATTTCTTCCCAAACCTCCATATCCAACCATCCATACCCATTAATTCTTCTTCTTCCCATCGTTACCAGCCAAACATGTCCACCCAAATTCAAAATGGTTCTTCTCACTCTCACGCCTCCTCATCATCTTCACAACACCCTCCTTCCAATCAACAACCACTGAGCCGGTATGAATCACAAAAGAAACGAGACTGGAATACCTTTGGACAGTACCTGAAGAATCAGAGTCCTCCAGTTCCTCTCTCTCAGTGCAACTTCAACCATGTGTTGGATTTCCTTCGGTACCTTGATCAATTTGGGAAGACCAAGGTCCACTTGCACGGTTGCATCTTCTTTGGGCAACCCACCCCTCCGGCGCCATGTGCCTGCCCTCTCAGGCAGGCATGGGGTAGCCTGGATGCCCTCATCGGGCGGCTTCGCGCCGCCTATGAAGAGCATGGTGGGTCGCCGGAGACTAATCCCTTTGGAGGCGGAGCCATTCGGGTGTACCTGCGTGAGGTGAAGGAGTGCCAGGCAAAGGCTAGAGGGATCCCATATAAGAAGAAGAAAAAGAAGAGGAACCCAATTAAGGGGACTCAAAGTGCAAAAGATATCGAGCACCAAGTTTCTTGAGATGAGAGATATATAGGAACGGTAAATTTTCATATGATGCAAATGATTGTGGCTTTATATATGTTTAATTTTGATTCATGCAAATTAGACCGAACCCTATGAAATGCTTGAATTTCAAACTAACTCGCAACATGTATAATACAATAGAATCCATTAATATAGAACATGTTATTGGGAAATTGGAAGCCTTTTTATAACTAAATCGGCTAAAAAAACGTCTGGTACATATGTGTGGAGATGCCATTTGTAGCATACAAAACCCTAGAAGAAGAATAAAAACCCTAATTTTGCACTGTCGATTGGAAAAGGTTTGCCTCAAGAATATTTTATTAGCTAAGAGCCTAAGACTGTTAGAGTAATGATTAGAGCAGAAAGAATAGTATTTCTCTTCTACCTCTCTTTCTTTCTCTCTCCTATCATTCAAAACACTGTTCTTGCAGTTTCCTAATTAAATACTCTCAGGTGTTTGCTTTATGCTAAATTTGGGCCTTTTCTGATTCTTTGAGATTTCTTGTGCTCCCCATGGATGTTTGAGCTTGATCTATATATCATACGTTGCATGTGATTACATACACAACTTGACGTAGATAGAGACTATAACGTATTGGAAGTCTGTCACCTATTATTTTAAGGAAATACATATTTTGATTAATAACAAACAATTCTCCTTCAACAAATTGTAACATTAAATTCGTGGTTTAACAACAAAAGCTTAATTATTTCTCCACACAAAGGTTTATTTATTCAATGTTGGCCATTCATTTATTAATGCTTATTTGTTTGTGCATGTGAAGAGATCGACAAGGGGCCTTGGATATGCCCTTTTGTTGGTCTTGTGACTTTCTCTAGATTGTTATATACTTAATGTCTCTTGTTAGTGGAAGCTGACTCCACTTTAATACCAAGTTATCTCTAATGTCTGTATTTCTTATCCGTGTATAATAGAGCTAGCTCGAAAGATGTAAAAAAAATATTATTTTTTTAGAAGAAGAAAAGAATGAGAAAGTGAAATGGGCCGGGAGATTTGTTTTTATTAAAATTAAAGGAAAACAAAAAAGTGTAGATAGATAATAACTAGATTACCAATCACTTAAACTTAATTACCCGAGCTGTTGTGGCGGGTAGGATAAGATATTCGACTCTTGTGTTTATGTTCAAGCTTTAGTGCCTGTACATGGATATACCAACAAAGGCTTCAATAATTTCTTGGCCCCACCAGAGAACTCTATTTGTCACTAAAATCACACTAACAAACATCGAGTGTGCCAGGTAAGACAATTTTCGTTCTGTAGAGTAAGCAATTAAGGATTATGCTTTTAAGGAAAAATACAGAATAATATTTCATTTTATGGCTCATTATCTAGAAACAAGAATTATCTTTTATTATTAAAAGTATCGGAGTAATTATCCTATATTCCCTGGATAAGATTTAGTTTTCTTCTTAAGATAATGAAACACCCGCTCATTTACATATGGATATCAAACCTCAACTTGTGTATAATTGAACTAATTGAGATGAACCGATTATAAGCTTGTGAATGCAACTATTGGATGCCAAGTTCAAATATGAGTTTTATTTGATGGAGATGCGACTTGCAAAGAAAAGAGATGGAAAATTACGAGCAACTAAATATATCATTTTGTGAACTCATCTTATGATTTACCATCCTTCCCTTCATATTTAACCATACTCTTGACATTTTTTGTCGGTGATATTCTAAAAGTGGTATAAAAATCTATAACACTCAAGAAAATATAACATATGGTGGGCTATAGTGTATAGATACTACAAAAAAAATTGACAGAACAAAGTAGTTTAGAGGACTAATAATTCCCCGTTTACTTTTTTCTTCTTCACTCATTTCTTCTTCGTTTTTTTTGCAATACATATACACATTTATAGATTGTTGAGCGACTCCTCGATTACTAAAATAGTTACAATCATCAGAAGTCACAAGTATTCACTAAATATTTCATGTATTAAACATAATAACAACGATTGATAACCACATTATTCAACATACTCTCCCATAATGTGTTGTTTTTGAACTTTTAATGCTTATCTAATATGCTAAAATCTTGATCATGGAAGTGTTTTAATTAGAGAAATTGTTAGCCCTTATTCTTGTAACCGCAATAAACCAGCTACACCTCTCATTCTTAAATTATGTTTTGAACGAAATGATGTTTTTGTATTAATGTGTTTGGTCCAGTTAATCGGATTCTCTAAGCTATAAAGATGGTTGATTTGTTGCCAAAACAAGGCCAAAGAACTCCTCTTACTTTTTTCTAATGTCTTCTAATATTCTTTTCAACTAATTAAATTGCTAGTTCTGTAACTTAATCTTAAACCTAACAGTGTATAAATATAAATGAAAGTCTTATATTTAGTAACATAAGTGATAAAGAGTCATAAATGTTTTGGATTAAAGAACACATTATTGTTTCTTACTTCTTTGAATACCTATAAATCACTCCTAAACTCTTGGAGAAAATGCATAACTCAAATTCTTTTTTATATCATCGACACTTCTAGCCCAATCATATTGTCACAATAGCCTTTTACTTCAAGCTTCAAATTCTTCTCAAATATGATTTCGTACTCCATGGTGGCCATGACTTATCTTAGAACTTTTTCTGGTAGTTTCAAGATGTTAGTGACTTCGCGGTTACTCATAAATCTCAAGAGATCGAGTAAACTTGTGACTAACATCAAATTGGGTCATGTTGCATTGAGATAGAATAAGCTTCCAATAACCAAGCTTCTATACATATATACTTGTTTCCACCAATCTTCAATTATATTCCCCTCTTAACTTTTCATTCACCACCAAAGGGGTATTAACAGGTTTATAGTCAAATATATCAAACTTATTCGATATATATTATAGCATGTCTCTTTTGACTAATAAAAACACCACTTTCTTCTTGATAAACTACAATACTCAGAAAATGGTGCAGGAAGCCAATATCACTCATCTCATACTTTTTCACCATCTCTATTTTTAAATTCTTAATCATTTTTTTTCTTCATATTATTACCCTATACAACAAATCATCAATAAAAAGTGCAATTCTTCCTTTCTCATTAGTGCCTCTCTCTATCTCTCAAATCCAAAATTATCTTCTACATCAAAACTAAGATCCGAAAGTCTAGAAAAAAAAAATTCATGTTCTATGATTCAAGAATGTCAATCGTTTATTGCCATGTCAATATATATGTGTGACTGCTTTTATCACAGATTTCATTTTCTTTCAAGAATTCCTCTATATATCTTTCTCATTAATTAATGCATCTCTCTACCTCACGAAGGTAAATAATATTTTCTTCTTCAAGATCAAAACTAAGGTCCAAAACTCTAAATAAATAAATAAACGTTGTATGATTCAAGAACGTTAACCCTTTATTGTCATCTCAAATTGTATGTGTGTATTTGTAAATTAAAAAAGAGACCCCTCTACTTTTGTATATGTGTCTCTGAACATGAATTCTGGAGCCTTTCTTTTGTTGTAAAAAATGTAGACTTTTCTCTTTTTCTTGCACACGTGTGTGTGTGAGCCTTGAATTCTGGCCTTTTTAGCATTCTAGTATTGTCGAAATAGATGTTGTATTTTTCATGATCCAAGAACATGAATTCTGACGCCACTTTGTTTTTGGTCAAAAATAGTACTGTAGAGAATAGGCGCATTTTGTCTCGTTACATTGAATATTGTGTTTTGATCGATTTGCAAAACACAAATTCCAGAGTGAAAATTTTGTTTGGAACTTGAAATTTCAGTTAGCATTATGCATAAAAAGGCCAAGCATGATACAGTAACCTTACCGAATTGCTCTTAGAGGAGCCCAATCCAGTAATTTCCTCCCTTGTTTTAGCCGTGATGTTAGAGAGCATTGGTTTGGTTGGAACTTGAAACTTCAGTTAGCATTATATGCACAAAAAGAAATTACTAATGTTTCGTATGCATGATCGATACATCCAAAGACTGATAAATCCATTGGAAATCGCTTCAATATATTCTCGGTGACATGTGGATAAAAATTTATTCGAAAGGGTTTTATTGTTAGTAACAAGTCACTTAATTGAATATTCTTTGCATGCAGAGCCATACGAACGAGTTGATTGAATGGAGCAGATTTGGCACTTCGAAAAAGATGTGGTAAAAAGTATTATCTCCTCTGCTGCTTGGACCAAAAATTATTACAAAATATCACAGTGATCGATATTTCACTAAGTATAGTTCAGAACAATAATCCTTTTAGTCCCATTTACTCTCCGGAAATCTTAAATGTATGTTAGAGATGTACAACCTTGTAACTTCTTCTAACATAAGACCTCTTCTCCAAAATAGAAACAATGAGAATGGCTAGCTTTACAGTCTTGCATTTAGTTTTTCCTTGTAGTACTCTATCAGCAACTACGCAAATATATATATTAATTAGGAATTATATCGGAAGATTTTTGATTTTGATCTTTTGGATTAGTGGTAGCATGATGTCTTGATCATAATGTGAACTTCTTGGACTTCAGCTTCAAGCATACTGCTGAAAATGTTAAGTATAACTTTGAGCAGAGTTGCATAAGTTGTACTTTCCTCTTGAAACAAATTGTTAAGTGGAGACTTAGAACACCACTAGCTAGCAAAAAACAAAAAAACAAAAAACAAAAAAAAATGTTGTATAATATATACAAAGGAAAAATTGTCAGGAGTTATGATTGTTTTTTATTAGTATAGCCTTTGTCAAAAACAACAATCAAGTGATAATGTATAATAGTTATAAGTCTATGCAAAAGAATATTCTAATACTGTAAAAAGAAGCACAGTGTCAGTTGACACAATGCGTAAATTTAAAAAAACTTATATCAAATTTAAATAGTTAATATTTATTAATTTTATGATTTATAATATTTTAATCTATATGATAAATTTTACAAATTTTGTGAAAAATAATTAGTTAATTTTAATCGATCAATTAAATTGTTTGATGATTTGATTTGATTATTTTTAGTTGATTTCATTTGTATATTAATTAATTAATACAATTATTAATAAATTGATATCTATACAATTTTCTGTAATAAATAGAAAAAGGGATATGGTTATATTAATTTTGACATATTTTATTGTAAGAAATTATTAAAATTTTAAATTTAAATTAAATGATTAAATCATTTGAGTTAATTATTTGATTGATTAATTATTATTTTTGCAATAATTATTTACAAGAATTATTAGTCGATTAATTTAATTTTTTACCAATATTTTCATAAATAAATAGTAAATATATAATTAATATTCATTATTAAAAAAAATTAAACCAAATTAATCTATAAATTCATGTAAATTATTTCTGCAAAAAAATTAAACAGTCAAACATTAACTCAAATAATTTAATTATTTAATTTAAATTAAAAAAATAAATTAATTTATTACAATAAAACATGTAAAATTTAATATAATTATATATGCATTACTATTTATTGTGAAAAAACATTGTGTAAAAATTAATCTTTTAATAATTTTTATAATAAATTGAAGAAAAAATAAATAAATATTATAATCAATTGAATCAAATCAAATTTTTAATTGTTTATTGATTGAATATATTTAATTGATTATCATAATATATATATATATATATATATATATATATATATATAAATATAAATT